ATCCAAGCTCTGAAACACTACCACTCAAGTTTCACTGGACACAGAGTGCCCATAAACTACAAGTATAAAACATGATGAAACAGAGCACTCTTCTTTCCAGAGCATACATTTGCTTGGCTCATTTGGATTTCTATGAATTTTCACTTATGCAACTAGTTAAGGCATTTCTTAATAGCTCTTTCTTTCTTTCATATCAATGGTGAGGTTGGACAGGTCGGATTCTACAGAAAGATGGCAAAAATCACAATCAGCTTAATAAACTGAGGTTGAAAATTAGACTGTGCTATAATGTTGAGCTTCTAGTTTAAAATGCTACTCTAATTAGTTGGACTGTGTTTGTAGCTTACTGTATCTTAGCAGGTTGAAAACAACAATAAATCTGCCTTCATTCAAATATTAGCTCAATCACGCATGAAAATACAACACCCAATCTATTTTAACAGGGTGGCCTTTCACATGTATACAAAAAATATCATTTAAAATTAATTACAACATCAAGTACAACATCAGTATTTTGCCAAAAGAATTAATTTCCATGCTACAATTTGTCTAGGTTGAATGAGATTTTTGTCACACCATAAAAAACACTGTAAATTTACAGTATATTTGTGGCTGCTCCTTGCATTAATTTTATTAATTTATTGTACAATAAAAGCAGTAGCTAACAATAAAATAAGAACTGTAAATTGAGCTGTACACTTCCAGTAATAAGCTGTAATTAAAGTACAGAAATCTCCTGTATTTTTACAGAACATCTGTAAAAGTAATGCAAATCAGTAGCCTGAAGAAAAGTTGGCTTTTTCATTTTAAAAGACCTCTAAATCTGTTAATTAAAAAAGTGAGCAAACACATTTTTGTCAACACCTTTTTGAAATTTCATAATAAAATATTTAAAATGTTTTTATTAGAATGTTTACACTTTTTAATTGTCTTAATGTAGTAATGCAGTGCGGTACCGCTCAACACCGAATTCACAGTAATTTTCTGACTTATTATATATTCACAATAAAATGGTAAAACAGTATTTGAATAGAGTGAAAATGTAATGTTAATATTGTGAGGTCCTGGCAATGAGAAACAATGCAGTTTTCAATAAAGCTCATCCAGCCTAGCAACAGTTGCTACGAAAGAACACATTTGTGGGTGGAGCTTGGACAGGTTAATAGGGATCCAAATACCAAGACAGCCATATCCAAGAGGCTAACGTGTACAAGTCAGAATTTCCTTTGTCTGTTTTAACACAACTGCAGTGTGATAGTTGTACATTAGAGCAGACTAGTGTGCTCAGAATTTCTCATTTCAGCAGGTTATTGCCAGGAGGCTTCATTACCGTGACTGGAGCATGGGGGGTGGGGTGCTGAATTTTACTGTGCCGTGTGGAAGGGGATTTTATTCGCAATGCCAGTCTATTACTAATGTATAAGCAATATCTCTAGAGTTTATGAAAACCCATACAGTCCATTCTTTTCCTCAAACTCTGAGCAACATTGGGACATAAGTGAAAGGTGAAAAAAAGGATCTTATCCTTTCACTTTTAAATACTGGACACATACTTTGTTTGCCTTTAATGCAACATAATATATAAGATAATAATATGGAAGGTGTCCCCATGAAACATTAATGAGATTGTATTCTAGAAGTGTGTAAACATCTCCAAGCAATGTTTTTCTTCTGAATGCAGTAACCAATGGACTGAATTTATGTTCTGTTACTTTGTCCTTATTTGTGTTCTGCATTGCCTCAGACCCATTATCATAATCTTAACAGCATACATTGTATATCAGCATAAGGCTTATTTGAGAGATAAATGCAAATTGAATGTAACAAGCTATTACATACAGTGTCCGAGCAGACAGTGGTCTGAATTTAACCCTGAGGAGATCAATGCTACAACACTGACGATGCAAGCTGTGGAGCTCATCTCTGCAGAAGGGCTGTCAGCAGTTCTCCACTGGCCCTCAGATCCTCAAGTCATCAGTTCTGACTGCTTTTATCATGTCAGAGTTGAGGGCAGGTCTGTGGATGTGTGGGAGCTTTTGATACATACAGATTTTTTCTTGCTGCACTCTTAAGCATCAAGGTGCTAAAACAAGTTCTTTGGGGCCACATTTGGTTCCCTAAAGAACCTTTCCCTGGATGGTTCTTTAAACAACCACTTTTGGACATCAGATGTATGAATGTAACAAACATTTTTAAAGTTTAAAGAACATCCTTGTAATGTCAAGGTTCTAATCATTAAAACACATATATCTAAGCCAAGAACCATCTAGAAACCTTCATTTTTAAGTGTGTGGGGCTGGTAATAAACAAAGTGCATGGTATAAAGTTCAATAACTGTTTTCAAAAGTAAGAGATACATCAAATTATTGAATGCCATTATAGTTTAACCAAGTATCTTGAGTTATTATTGTCATTTTGCTATACTATTTGAAAGTAATTACATAATTACATTGTTATTACATAATTATACAGCTAGCTACATACTGAATTACACATTACCATTTGATTTATATTCTGTATTGACCAGTTCAGGTCTGCACTTCTGACTTCTTTGTGTTTGTTATGTCTACAAATAATAAAAACACATCTGTTTTTATTTACACAAAAGACTTTAACTTTTGTGTAAATAAAATCAGCACTGTGATAAGTACCCTCATTATCTTTCTTTTCGTATATGGTTTTCCACCAAGTTCAACAAATATTGCTTAATAATTATTGTCACAGAGTAAAATGAATTAGTCCACTCATCACATCACATTTTATTATAGTGTGCACTCATGTGCTCCTTTTATTTTCCCTTTTGAACAAAGCAGCAGAGCTCTATGCACCCAAACAGATCTTTTAACATTGTCAGTGTGCTAAAGATGGCATTCTCAGTGTTAGCCCCCCTGTGCTATTTTAACACGTCCACTGTTGAAATAACAGTCTTCGTTGCTGTCCAGCTGGATGTATATAAACACAATAGGTGTAAATTCAACACTGGGGATTTTATTATGCATGACCCCCATTTTATATTTCTCACACTTCTTTCATGTTTAGCACTGGACAGCTCCTTCTGCTTATGGTCGGCTAAGCCTTGATTGGTTTCTCATTGTTTGGAGGATGAGAAACATTACATGTCATTTAAGCAGTCACAGATTGAGGCAGTACACAGCAGATGGGGGAAAATATGAATCCCAGCCCAAATATTTAACCACTTGGATGAGTACAATACATATCCATAAGAAATAAAATGCAATATAAAAAGCAGTACCTACCACTTACATTAACAAGACATACCCATGTGCATGTACATGGATCCCCTCTTAAAGGATTGTTCGGAGCGGTCCCATAAAAGAAGTTTATTTTCACTCCATTTAAAGAATGATTCAAACTGTTTTACTAATTTAGCACAGAGCAGCTTGCTTAGCTCCCCGTCATGACCCTCGGCTGGTTTCCTATTGTTGGAATGATTGAAAGCACTCAAAAAATTGCCATTGTACATGGACTGATGAAGGGCTACAGATGTGGTACCTTTGAATCTCAGTTAGAATTTTCAGCCTCTTGGTGGAGTTCAAATCATGGCCTGAACCACAAAAGAGCAGCTTTCAGACAAAATATTCAGCACTGGTCAGTTCCCTTTGTGCCCACTTGTTGTAAGGATTAGAAGTGCTCACAAATTAGCCACTGGACATGGATTGAGGAAGGGTTACAGATTCAGTTAATCTGAATTGAAGTTTTAACCTGATTGAGGTTTTAACCTCTTGGGGGAGTCTATACCACAGCTTGAGCCACAAAAGAGCAGCTTTCAGACATGATATGGATATTGTTTGGACAAAACCAGTGTTTGGACAAAAATCAGTATGGATTGCCTCTTCAAAGAATGACTGATCTATTTTTTTTCTTTATGTTTTTACACATTGTGGCTCACAATGCCTCCACTGGTCTTATGGTTCTGAGGATCATAAACACTTGTTGAACAGTGACCCTACTGATCACTGCTCTGACTGAATATGAAGACTGAATTCACACAGCCTGATACACACTCACACTTCGTACTCAGCTGCTGGATCTTTCCAGGCTTGTGGATTGTATTTTATCAAGGCATTATTCATACTTAAAAAAAGATGGTTCTTCAAAGGTTCTATAAAAAAGACAATGGTTTTATTTAGAATCACAAGTTTGATATGCACTTTAAAAAGATGATTCTTTAAGGGTTCTTTAATAAAAGCAATGGTTCTATTCAGAACCATGAGTTCTATATACACTTAGAAAAGATGGTCCTACAAGGGTTCTTTAGTAAAGGCAGTGGTTCTATTCAGAACCATGAGTTCTATATACACTTGAAAGAGATGGTTCTTCAATAGTTCTATAAAAAGACAACGGATCTATTTAGAACCATGAGTTCTATCTACACTTAAAAAACATGGTTCTTCAAGGATTTTTTTAGTAAAGACAATGGTTCTATTTAGAACCATTAATTCTATGTACACTTTAAAAAGATGGCTCTTCAAAGATCTTTAGTAAAGCCAATGGTTCTATTTAGAACCATGAGCTCTATATAGAACTATCATGCATAAGTGTTTCTTTTCCTGGTGAAATGGTTCTTCAGATTAATGGATTGTCCTATATTTTGAAAATGGTTCTATATAACATCAAACAGCGTTCTTCTATTGTTACTATGTCAAGCTTGTAGAGAAAAAACCTTTGGTGCTATAAAGAACCCTTTTCAAAAGGTTCTAAACAGAGCCAACACATTCCCCATCAATCTAAAGTACCGTTACATCATGCAAACAACCATTTAGGCACGCGAATGGTTATTTGAGTGTTCTTGGTCCTACATACTAAGTGACCCTTGAAGAACCATCTTTTTAAGCGTGCACGCGACGGGCTCAACTCCAGCACCAGTGCAGTTTCAGAAACGTGTGGAAAGCGCGCGCTGTTGTCGCCTCCCTCGCTCGCGCGTCTGATCGCCCAGCCTCGGCTGAGGTGGGGTGGAGGGAGAGCGGGGGGGAGTGGAGAGCAGCTTTCAGTGAGGAACAAAAGCACGTCGTACTTTGGAGTGCACGGGCACAGCACGCCAGGCTCGGCGCGTGCTTTTCTACTCCGCGCGCTTGAGTGACAGGCCGACGACAGTGGTCTAGAAATATGCATGAATGAGGCTTTTTGCCGGTTACGGTGTTGCTTTTTTGTGTGAGCGTGTGTGTGTGAGGGAGAGATAGAGTGTGTGTGTGAAGGTTCGGGGGGAGGGGGGTGGGTGGTATATCAAAGACGATACGTCACCGCGATCTGTGCGGATTGGCTGGATTTTGCTCCTTTCTGCTCAGATTTTGCGAGCGCGAGCTGGAGGACAGCAGGATCATCCCGGCAGCTCGGCGGCAGGTAAAGCTGTGCATTTACTGTCACTAACGCGGTCGCGCGGTAATAATTCGTGGTAATAATAAGGCGGCGGGTGAGCGGAACATGGCGAGGAGTCCCGCGTCAGACAGGCTGCGCTGGTAAACCGCGCAAACGTGCTTGTGAGGAGGAATGCCGCAGTTCTGAATGCACCGCATGTCCACTGAACCCGGCGTCTGTTTTTTCTTACTCTTCCCACTGGATTAGTTCAGAGGTTCAATTAAGCGAGGAGAATGTAACGAGATTATAGCAGACTGTCCACAGAGCGGCAGGCCTGCTGGTCAGGGGGTCTCCATTCTTTTGAGTGCGTTATTTCTGCACGGAAAACTTCACCACCACTATTGCGCCCTTCCTATATTTTACACACTAAATGGCATAGGCTTTCTGCGCCAGCTCCTCTTCGCGTTGGGTGTTAGGGTCGCGCACTGTAACGTGGCTGTATGTTGGGTACATTTTCCCACCTCTATCCAGAATTGCGCTCACTCCCGATTCTTTATTGGATCTATTTCAGGCTGAATCCTGAGGGGTCTCCTCTCCCATGCAAGAGGAATGACTGCAACATAGAGGCGGCGGAGAGGTGGAGATTGGCCATCGCCTCGCTCGTCTGCGTCTCTCTTTTCTCTTTTGGAGGGACTACGCTGCCACAAAAGCGGACTAAATGAGCGCGAGGACCTCCTCAGACAGACTGGCCCTCGCCGTGCCGCCCTGCGGCTCCAACGGGACTGCATGGCCGGAGGGCGCGTGTATGGCGCGCGTGGAGCAGCTCTTCCAGGCGCTCTCCTCCACCGTGGTGCTCTTCGTGCTGGTGGCGATGATCGCCGCGGTCATCTCCGTGTCCCTCACCACCTTCCACTTCCACAAGAGCAAGATGAAGAAGCGCAAGATGCAGCGCGCGCAGGAGGAGTACGAGCGCGACAACTGCAGCCCCAGAGCGGCCAAGGGGAAGCCGGCGCTCAGGCAGTGCGTCGTGGAGAGACCTGGGGGGCCGAAACGGGCCAAGGGCGAGACCGTCACCCCCGTCCCGAAGGAGGAACCCGCGGAGAGCACGAGACACGCGGCGCAGACGCACGACGACAGCTTGCTTCAAGCCGTGGCCGTGTCCTGATGAGCGCGGACGCACAGGCGAAAACGCTCTGGCTGACACTGTAAATACGTGCCATGTATAATAACTATATTACACACAGCGGGGGTCGGCAGGGGTTGGGGTGGGGGGAGTGAGACAGATTCATCTGCACGCATGAACACTGAAGGAGAAGAAGGAGAAGAAGAAGAAGAAGTCTTCTTCTACAGCTTCAGGAGAAGCCCTGCGGGGGAGGGAGGGGGAATAAATAATAAAATAATGGACGCATCCTTCAAGCGAAATCGATTTGTAGTGGTCAACAAGGTTGTATCACTATCTGCGCGGACTGGATTGATTTTCTTCTTCCATCCATGCGAACGAACTCTGCTAAGAACGAGGACGAGCCTAATTGTGAGGGGCTTCATTCCGTTGGCTGGATCACCAACGGCTGATGGACGAGCTCTGGACTAGCTGTGATAGATGACTGCGAGTAGGAGATGATGTATATTTACTCCCTGAAGTCAGGTATAGGGCCGCTGGAATGTAAAGCGAGAGCGTCTTGTAAATCTCGTACAGCAGCTTGGACGCTGTCCACTACTTTAGTGCTGAAATAAGGACTAACTCACATTAACCGCTCTTCTTCATGTAGGATTCTCCCCCGTCTTTTATAGCGTTTACCAGTAGTCTTCTGTTTTTAAAAAGGAGAAAAAAAGAAATCCTGTGTGTCCGTATTAGGTTAAATCCTTATTAAGTTCACATCCAGTAAATTATAAGATATAAAAGTTTCTCCCTTGTAACTGAAAGCTTTGCCAGGAGGAGGGCTGGAAGGATATTCTCGCCTTTGTGCCCCGGCGTGAGTAAGCGTGCTAGTTTAACCCCCTTAAGCCCCCTAACCCCTTTTTCCCACAGACTGTTAACGTGAGATTACAGTTACTAGCAGCTACTAGTGGTAGTTTAGCCTATTTAGTATATTCTTGCTTTGGTGCCATATATATATATATATATATATATATATATATAGACATTTTAGTTATGTATTACAGCTTTGGATTCATTTTTGAGTTCTTTTTTTGCATTTTCTGCTCAAAAACTAATCATTAGCTCTTTTATTATGAGATTATAATCTTAGAAGTGTAATTTATAATCTATAGTGAATAAAAACTTTTAAAAGCTCTTTTTTCTGTACTTCCTTGACGTTGTGTTTAACCAGACGTGAGAATAAGGAGACATTGAGAATAACACTATAATTAACAGCAATTTGAAGGTTCTTTTATTCTTCAGTTTTTCCTTTTGAATTACTAATAAAGAATGGTGTAAACGGGTGTGTGTCCTCATTGAAATTCTACACAGTGCCTCATTATCGTAATGTGCTTCATTGTACTGACGTACAAAGGTACAAAGGTAGCAGCGAACAGGCGTGAGGAAAGAAGGGGAGTGAGGATTAGAGCTGCTGTAAAATTATAGAGACTTATGCAATGCTGCCCAATTCCTTTCCAGCACGATCAAAGATTTTGGCTTTTTTCCTGCACCTCTTAGTCAGTAAGTGTAACACTGTAACTGCTGTGTGCCTTTTCTACCTTCAAACTGAATATCCATAAGGTTTATAGGAAGGAAGCTGGTAAACAGTGTGTCAATGTGCTGGTCACTCACTAGTGCACATCAGAGGTTCTTCCAAACTGACATTCAGGTCTGAAGTCACATGGGATGCACCTTTTAGAGAAGCACCTGCAGGAAATCTTAACCTTCATGTACATGTAGTCTGTGTCTACTTTATCACACAGAATGAAGAATGAAGTGTGCTCCTCACTCGAAAGTTTCCCAAAACCATGAAGCATTGTGATTTACAGGCTTGATGCTGTTTGCTTTCTAATGGCCCCTCAGGCTACAGTCACAATTCAACTGCACTTAAAGGGGCCACATCGAACATTTTTCATGTATGATACTGTGTTTTTGTCCCTAAGGTCCTCTTATATCCTTTTTCCGAGCTGAAACACTTATGGCGTCTGCATGGTTGGGAGGAGGAGGTAAACAGTCATAGTGAATGTAGGCTGAATAGGCAAATTTATGTAAACATGTTCATTTGTGTGACATAGCAAACCAGTGAATTTAAAATGGGCCACTCTTGCAGCTTAGTGTCCAATTATGGACTGTGGAGTGAACAGTACATTTTAAAATTTTAGCACTGAAATGTTTTTCCATAATATGGTTCCTTTGAATACTACAGATTCTAAATAAATATAAAATGTGTTTTTTCAGATAAAACCAAAGATACACATTCATCTCCAAAACAGTAACTTTACAGGAGGGCAAAAATGTTCTTTACTTTCAATGTGAGTTTATGTAAAGAGATTTTATTCAAAGCATGTTTGGAGCATTTCTATTGGTCAATTCACCATAAAATTTTCACATAGTGCAAAGAACAGCTAGCATGCACAAATGATGTAGAAAAGTAAAAATTGCAACAAAATGTTTTTCTTTGGACAGCAACAATCTGAGGAAGTTGGATGTTTGTAGGTAGCAATTGTGCTAGCAATTTGAATTCTAAGAGCAATGCACTGTAGATAAAATTGATTACATAAAACATTTCTAAACAAATGTGAAATACTTGTATTACAAGTTTATTTTTAATCCCAAATACGAAAATCAGGTACATATACTTAAAACATTGTAAGTATAAACTGCTTTACCTTCCTACTATACAGTCATATGCAAAAGTTTGAGCGGCCCTGGTCGAATGACATTTTCTAAGTTAAAATAAATTAACACATCCTTGTGAGGACACACTTCTACACATTTTAATACACAGTTACTGCTTATTTGCTGAATTAAACACATTTGGGATAAAAATATGCTTTATTATTTATGTGTAAAACTTAGCAAATGAATAGAATGACCTTTTTTTCTTTTTTTAGAAAGAGAAAAAAGGACACTTTGCATATTCATATGATGGGTGTAGGTGAGGACAGGAGAGTTGAGCAAAATCTGCGGGCTGTCAGATGTGCCCATCCAAGCCAAATCCAATTACCCTTCACAAATAAGATAATGATCATGCCTCCATCTATGTCGAAAGGCTAATTGCTCAACTGGAGCGATCTCCACTGAGTGCAGTGGTAACAATAGTGGCCAGGGCCTGAGAGCATTGATAGGAATAAACGCCTCACAGACTCCTGTCCTCGTATCCATGCTGGAAGTGTTTGCAGGCTCTGTGCTTTCTTTTCAGCCAGCTGCAGCTGATTCGAGTGGGAGATACCTGACCTCGCCAAACTTCTGCCCACCAGACTATTTTTTCCTCCCTCTCTCATTCTCCCTCTCATTGTGTGTGGGCCGGCACAGTCATGAGCAGCACATTCCACACATAATATAACAACTCTCTCAGCCCACAGCACTTTCAGCGCAGGTAGCATGTGTCAGCAGCGGAGTGTTATCAACACAAGCGCTCTCTCACAGGGAAGATGTGGGCTGTGGAGGATGAACCACCAAGATATCAGCTCTGACAGCCATACATTATAGTCGTGGGTGGCAAAGTGCTTTTCCTCTAACTCCTGCTTACTGAATTACTCGCTCTTTTAATGGGCTTGGTAATCAGACCGGCCAGTAAAATCATCTCACTCTCTAAGTGCTTCCAAATCACGATCTAGATGCATATGGAGGCTTTCAAACATTTAAAAGGTAGATGATGAGCCACTGCTGAAAAGATTTTTTAGACTTTTTTTTTCTCACAATGACACTAAGCAGGGTTGGTAAAGCCTGATATGAAGATGATATTTTGTTAGCATATTTTGTTCTAGACTTACAAGCAAGTGTTTAACATGCATCAACAACAGCTGCAGTTCTATTTAGCTTGATTACCTTTGATGTAGCTTTATCATACTTGAGCAGACAATTTTGATATCTAAAATAAAAAAGGCAACTTCAGCTCTCTAAGAAAGTGACCAAAAGCATTTAATCTGAATGTTTAAGACCGATCAGATGCTGAAAAACAAATTTAATTTGTTTGCCATAGCCCTTAACTTGACCTGCATAACAGCAGTTATCCATGTTTACAAAAAGCTGATAAATGGAATTTGCTGAAATGGCATGACTTACAGCCTCTTAGCCATCCTTATTACCATTGAAATTTTACTTGCATTACATTTTTCAACAGAATTGGTTTCAAGCACTGAAATGGCCCTTTTCCATATGAAAAGGGTAGCAGCCCTTAATTCTGTGCTACTGATTCCAAGATCAGTCTAATAGGGTCAAAGACGACATGACTGTCACTACTGTCAATTTGTTCTATTAGGCCCATACAAATGCATGGCCTGAAGTAATTAACATTGTTGGCAATTGGCAGTAAACAAGTTATGACTCTGACAGAATCGTAAATAGTGGACAACACAGAGGCCTCTGTTCATTATCATTGCATCTTTCAGAGATACGATACATTAACCCCTTACATTCCCAGGCCTATTGCATCCTACACTGTAAGTAAAATGGTTCTATATAGTACCAAACAGAGGTTTGTTGACTTTCAACAATAGTAGAACAATTTTTGGTGTGTTAAGAAGGTTTTTTAAACAACTATATACAGCACTTTCTCCACCTGAGAAAAGAACCATTTCACCATGCAAAGAACCATGTAAAGGCATGGTTCTACATGTAACTGTTGCCTTTACTACAGAACTCTATGAAGAACAATTCAAATTGCCCAGGTTATTCTTAAAAGATGCAGTCTAAAATTACAATAACTTACTTCTCTGCTTATTTACAGTTCTCGTACTGTATTTTACTGTTTACTATTACATACAGTTGATTGCTGTATTTGCACAGTTTTTCCAGCATCCCTGTATTTCTAATGCACAGTTCATATGCGCTAAAATGTTTACCCAAAAGTCTGGCTATATTGTGTAACAATGTAAAGACATATGCAAACACCTCAAACTTTTCTATTTAGCTTCTGATGGCAAATGCTTGAACACACTGTTACAGTTATAGTTAACAGAATAATCACCCTATTTTCACAACAGCTCAGGACAGTTTATCAATCACACCATGAACTGAGCATCACATTACAGCAGTTCTATGCACTTACACCAGCCATAACAACTATAAAGATGGCAGCAACCAAATATCTATTGATTATAAAATTACACAATAACTTTATCTGAAACATAAAAAACAATGGAAATACTAAAAGATGGAAAATACAAGCAACCATATCTATGGGACTCATCCAAAATGAACTATAGAGGAAGAAATAAAAGCAAATTAACAAGTCAATTAACTAATATGCTTAGCAAATAACAGTTAATTATTGTACAATTCAACATACATTTTAATTTTTTTGACAAAGAACTTTTATTTTCTTATATTTTTCGAAGAATGTACAATTCTTTACAGCAATCTTCTACATTTAAGGAATACAGCAGATTACTGCAGTGTTTCCACTTTAAATGTACATCAGCTCTTTACAGTGTAGCAGTGAGGATGAGAAGAACCCATCAGCAAGTCCAGACATTTCCCATTTTTTTAACTACATAGCATGCATACTACTCTTTAGATTAAGATAAATTGCTAAATAATAATATTTAATAAGAGTTAAGGAGTTGAATGTGCGAATCCCATTATTACAATGTGTTCCAAGTGGTAGTGGTACAATTAAAACATTTAACAACACAAAACAAAAAACATATAGTGCAATCTGTACGTAGGTGGACAGACATAGAGATGCTTTAGGGTCTGTGTTCGAGCACATAGCACTTGAAATGAAATTATTTCTATAAGGAAAAATGCAGAATGTCAGCTTTAATTTTGATCTATATAGGGCGCAATCAGGTTTTCATGGATGTCCCCACCTATTTCATGAGACCAAATGTAATTAGGCAATTCACACAGCCTTGAATAAGCTGTCAGATTTATTACTTAGTTTCTCCTCTGCATTTCATGATTATGTGACGTCTGCACCCAATAGACCCCATCCTCCTTGTTCTGGGGGGCTTTTTGTACTTGTCTTTT